AATGGAGGTGTTAATTAAACGTGTCGTAAGAAGCACCACAGGAGGGGGGAAGACGAGGAGGAGGGAGGGAGGAGAGGAAGACGAGGAGGGAGGTGGTGAGGAAGACGAGGAGGGAGGGTGGTGAGGAAGACGAGGAGGAGGAGGAGGGGTGGTGAGGAAGACAAGAGGAGGGTGGGGTGGTGAGGAGAAAGACGAGGAGGGAGGGTGGTGAGGAAGACGAGGAGGGAGGGTGGTGAGGAAGACGAGGAGGGAGGGTGGGAGGAGACGAGGAGGGAGGGTGGAGGGAAGACGAGGAGGGAGGGTGGGTGGGAGGAAGAGGAGGAGGGTAGGAGGAAGACGAGGAGGAGGGAGGATGGGAGGAAGACAAGGAGGGAGGGTGGGTGGAGGGGAAGACGACGAGGAGGGAGGGTGTGGAGGAAGACGAGGAGGGAGGGTGGTGAGGAAGACGAGGAGGAGGAGGAGAATAGGTTAAAGAAAAAAGCAGAAAAAAGCAGGAAGGAAGAGGACGAAGGAGAGAAAGTTATTAGAAAGGAAGAGAAAAGTTGTGTCTTTGTATATTGACTTAGAGAAATTAAATTATATAGCCAGAAGAACCTCATTGAAAGCGCAGAGGCTGTAGGGGTTAGGTTAGGTTAGGTTAGGTTAGGTCAGGTCAGGTCAGGTTAGGTCAGGTTAGGTTAGGTTAATTGAAGTCTGGCTGGTGTTTGTTTACGATGAAAGAACCGACGTGTGTGTGTGTGTGTGTGTGTGTGTGTGTGTGTGTGTATGTGTGTGTGAATTGAAATGGCCTGTGTGTGTGTGTGTGTGTGTGTGTGTGTGTGAATTGGAAAGAAATGGCCCTGTGTGTGTGTGTGTTTGTTTGCGTGTGTGTTTACTTATTGTTTTAACCCTATCTTTCTTCTCTCTTCTTATATTATTTACCTATCATCAATCTATACCTTTATCCCCCACCTTTCTTTGAGGTTGGTGTACTCTCTGATCACACACACACACACAGGCCCTCAGTATACTGGTGGTGCAGTAGGCGTCAGGAGGAAGACCATTTATATTCCAGTGTTGGTCTCCCGATTTAATTGCCGCTAATATCGTGTTGGGTCGAGGGTTTTTTTTTTTCACACTTGCATTTATCACCGTCTTGTGTTGTATTACAGGTGGTGGTGGTGGTGAATTTGTTAGTACACCATCTATCCCTCCTCCTTCCCCTCCTCCCTCCCTCCCTCCCTCCCTCCTCCCTCCCTCCTTCCCCCTGCAGGGTTACCACAGTGGTAGGAAGAAGCACGTAACATTATTATGGTAGTCCCAACTCGCTTGATTTGTATTCCCTTCCCTCCCTCCTCCCTCCTCCTTCCCATTCCTTCTCTCCCTTACCCTCCTTCCTCCCACACCCTTTTTCCTATCCTTCCTTCCTTCCGCCCCCCTCCCTGTGCCCCCACTCCTTTTCCCACTCCTCCACCCCTTTCCCTCTCTCCCTCCGCCCCTCATGAATAACACACACCAACATATACAGCACATCCTCCTGCCTCTTTGTCATCTCCTTCTCCTCTTTTGTTTTCTCTCTCCCATTTTTAGTCTTCCTTCTTTTTTCCTGATCCTCCTCCTCTCCTCTCCATCTGTTTTGTCTCTATCTCTATCTCGTTTATCTCATTCCTCCATTCATCCCATCCTCCGGAGCTATTAGAATAATTTGTACGGGCCATTTAGCAATTTAGAGGTAATTCCGAGGCGCCAGCCAATTTAGTAGCTGTTGACGATGACTACGATGGTGACTACAATGATGACTACGACGATGACTGCGATAATGACTACGATGACCGTCCAAAAGTGTGGGGAATTGAGATGCATGCATATGTATGTATGTATGTATGTATGTATTGTATGTATGTATTGTATTGTGTTGTATTCTCATTATTTAATTATCCTGCCTACTTTACATTAATTTATATTCCATTTATTTAAACATTTATCATCACTAAACATTTTATATAATGACCAATATTTCCACGTATTAAATTACAATATGTTTTCCTGTCGGCCATTTTGACGTTTTCCTGGCGGCCATTTTGACTTTTTCCCTCAGCCATTTTTATATTTTCCTGGCGGCCATTTTGATGTAAATATCGAAACCAGCTAAAAATCTCCCTCGATGTCAATTTTGGCATAAACACAGACCTTGATATATTATTTTGGTGACCTTTGACCTCTGACCTAATGTGTTGTTTATGGTGGAAGAGGTGAGTTGTTTTCTTGTTGTGTCAGGTTGTGGTTGACAGGATTACATGGTAGTTCATTAGCATAGTGATAAAGCTGTGGCTGTGGGCTGATGTGGATGTGGATATACGTACATACATACCCACACACATACATACATACATACATACATACATACATACATACATACATATATATACACACACATATACTCTCTCTCTCTCTCTCTCTCTCTCTCTCTCTCTCTCCTCTCCTCTCTCTCTCTCTCTCTCTCTCCTCTCTCTCTCCTCTCTCTCTCTCTCTCTCTCTCTCTCTCTCCCGAGGTACAGGTGAGAGGTGAGGTAATGACTCGTAGGTAAGGGTGAATTTATCATATTTCTCAGTAAAGTTAACCATAGAAAAACAACGTCTGGTGGTACCTTAGTGATCTACCTCTCCCTCTCTTCCCTCTCCTTTCCCCTCTTTCCTTCTTCTCCTTCCTTCTCTTTTTCCCCTCAACCCCCTGTCCTTCTTCTATCTTCGCCCTCCTCCTCCTTCTTACCTTACTATCTTCTTCCTACTCAAAATCTCTTCCTCTTCGCGTTCTTTTTTTCTTCTTCCTCTCTTCTTCTTCCTCTCCTCTTTTATTCTTCCTACTCTCCTCCTCTTCCTCATCACCTTCCATCGTTTCTCCCGCCCTCCATCTCTCCCCTCCTCCTCCCTCCCTCCCTCCCTCCCTCCCCTCCCTCCCTCCTCCCCTCCTCCTCCATCTCTCCCCTCCTCCCTCCCTCCCTCCCTCCTCCTCCCTCCCCTCCCCTTCATCTTGTCTCCACCAGAAATAAAATATTTGTCACGAGCCACAAACAAGGCAGTCAATGATGGCGTCTTCTTCCCATTCTCCTCGCCCCGCACCGTCTCGTCCCGATCCCCCCGCCCCGTCTGGTCCTCCTCCCCGCCCCGTCTCGTCCCATCCTCCCCACTTGTCTTGCCACTCCTCCCGCCCCGTCTCGTCACTCCTCCCGCCCCGTCTCGTCCCGCTCCTCCCCGCCCCGTCTCGTCCCACGTTCCGCACCTTATTGTGACAAAATTTGGAACACTAATCTTCCTCGTGGTTGACTCTCTTTATGATCACCATTTTGTCTTTATTTACTTTATGAAGAAACAATAAGACGAGAGTAGAGCCTTTGTGAGTCACCAAGACGGGTGTAGAGCCTTTGTGGTCACCAAGGCGGGTTAGCCAGAACCTTTATGAGTCACCAACACGGGTGTAGAGTCTTTGTGAGTCACCAAGACGGGTGTAGAGCCTCATGAGTCACCAAGGCGGGTGTAGAAACCTCTGTAGTCACCAAGAGGGTGTAGAGCCTCTGTGAGTCACCAAGACGGGTGTAGAGCCTTTAGTGAGTCACCAAGACGGGTTTAGAGTCTTTGTGAGTCACCAAGGCGGGTGTAGAGCCTCTGTGAGTCACCAAGACGGGTGTAGAGCCTTTGTGAGTCACCAAGACTTGTAGAGCCTCTGTGAGTCACCAAGACGGGTGTAGAGCCTTTGTAGTCACCAAGACGGGTGTAGAGCCTTTGTGAGTCACAAAACTAGTGTAGAGTCTTTGTGAGTCACCAAGACGGAGTGAGGAAGCCTTTGTGCGTCTGGGCCTCTGTGAGTCACCAAGACGGGTGAAGAGCCTTTGTGCGGCACCAAGACGGGTGTAGAGTCTTTGTGAGTCACCAAGTTGGATATGCAGCTGCGGAGAGCGATGTCATTAGTGAGTCATTAAGTCACCAGAACGGACAGAGCGTAGAGCGAGGTCATTAGTCAGCTGGAGGTAAATAAACGCTTGAGGTACAGTAGGTGAGGGAGAGAGGTTCATCAAGGCTGCCAAGTCGCTGATGAAGGACCCAGTGTAAACAAAGCTCTCAGAGTCAACATGAACACAACCTCTAACCCCCCCTCTTATCCCCCCATAACCCCCACCTCCCCCCCCTACCTCACTGACATCACACCCCCCTCCACCCCTCTTCCAGACGGTTTATTTCCAGGTTTAAATTCCATGGTCTAAACAATATGGAAAATTTGCTCCTATCACCTTCACTTACACACACACACACACACCACTAAATAATCCTCCTCTAAAAGCCACTCACCCTAAACCCTACCCCAGAGGTCAATGTGTGCAAATTCTCGTGTTTATGGAGAATCTTTTGAGTTCTGCTCTTACCTTATAATGAACCTGTGTGTGTGTGTGTGTGTGTGTGTGTGTGTGTGTGTGTGTGTGTGTGTGTGTGTGTGTGTTCTGTGTGTCTGTGTGTGTGTGTGTGTGTGTCTGTGTGTGTGTGTGTGTGTGTGTGTGTGTGTGTGTGTGTGTCTGTGTGTGTGTGTGTGTGTCATCCTCTGTGCGTGTGTGTCTGTCTGTGTTACTGTCAATCCTTCAGCTGAGGGATAAATACTTCGCTCTTCAGTCAGCATCACACGGGTGGCAGGGCGTGTGTTAGTTCAGCTTAGTGTCGCTGTAGTCACTGGTAGAAGTTTAGTTAGCAGTTGATCACCTAGAAATGTGAATAGTTAATTGACTGATAATACAATAATATATAAATAATGAATAAATAAGAATGTAAATAGAAGACAAAATCCTAACTTATTGTATGAAATATTATAAAAACAATAAATATTAATAAATAATAATAAATCATGGCCATTAACTACAATACCATAACAACACAATAACTCAAATCACAATTAATAACCAAATCCAAATCGTGATAATTATGTTAGGTGAAATTGATAAAAGACCCACCTGACGAAGACTTTGCCCCCTCCGCAGGTAACTACAGCTGTCTACGGGCCCTCATCACCCTGGAGAGGAACATCGGCTTCCACCTGGTACAGAGTTACCTGCCCAGTATACTCATTGTCGTTATCTCCTGGATGGGCTTCTGGATGGACAGAGCTCCGTACCTGCCCGCACCTGCCTCAGCGTCACTACCCTCCTCACTGTCTCCAACCAGGCGTCAGGTGGAGTCCCCAGGTGGTGGCTGGGTGTAGTGGGGTGATTCAGGGTAAGGTGGTGGCTAGGTGTAGGGGTGATTCAGGGGGTGTGCTAGGTGTAGTAGGGAGTGATTCAGGGAAGGTGGTGGCTAGGTGTAGTAAGGAGTGATTCAGGGTAAGGTGGTGGCTAGGTGTAGTAGGGAGTGATTCAGGGAAGGTGGTGGCTAGGTGTAGTAGGGGTGATTCAGAAGGTGGTGGCTGGGTGTGGTAGGAGTGATTCAGGGAAGGTGGTGTAGGTGAAGTTAGTTGACTCCACTGCTTATAAAGGACACACATACATACACTACTACTACTTTACTGCCACTAGAAATCGAGTCTGACGATCATCCAGCTATGATACAATGATATGAGCTATAGGATGTCACTTTCGTCAGTGAGTTCTGAGGTGACTCAGGCCGATCTGAGACGGCAGGAGCCAGTCTAGATGTGGCACGTGTGGGGCTACACCTAGTGCGGGAGGGGCGGCGGCAGCGACGTTCAGGCGCTAGCGCTTGTCTGCCTCTGTTTGCAGTCAGGGGTAACTCAAGTTTTGCACCTTCTCGTGGTGCTCCTCCAGTGGGGAGTGATCGTCTCCCAGGTAGGGGTCGATTGGCACTTTTTCAGGTTTGTCTTAAGACTATCCTTATACCTTTTCAGTTGCTCGCCGGCGTTTAATATTCGTTAGGTGACTGTTAAAGTAGTTGCTGTGGCAGTTTACTGTCGTCCATGCAGGTAGCCTCAACGTCGAGTTGTTCATGGATAATAGTAGTCTCGATGCTCCTCCAGTTGGTGTCGCCAAGAATTCTGGCATTTGTTCTCTCGTCTTCCCAGCGAATTCGGAGGATGGAAACATAGACTACGTTGGTGAAAGCTTTGTGCCTTGAGGTGCCTCCTGTTTGTGACCTATATCTCGCTGCTATACAACAGGGTGGGGACCAATGCTCTATACATGTGCAAGTTTGTAAATAATTTCAGCTCCTACAGTTGAAGACACGGGTACAGAGTCTGCAGGATGCAGATACATCTGATCCGATGCTGAATCTCTTCATTGATGTCCGGCAGTGGTGGACAGGTGGAACCGAGATACTTGAAGTGGGTAACATTAGAGGGTAGTGCCGTTAGGCTGGATGGATGGTGGGGATGTGGTTGACCAGGGGCAGACTGAAGAGAATCTGAGTCTTACGTACATTCACCTCAAGGCTGAAGTATGCATGCGCATATGCGTAGGTGTTCAGGATCTTCTGTAGGTCGCGTTCAGTGTGAGCGACGAGGGTAGATCGTCTGCATACTGAAGTTCAGTGATGGAAGCTGCCGACACGCTGATGGGTCGTCTTGTTGAACCCTTCACCCGGTACTCGATGTCACCGCCGGCTAAATTGGCATGGCACGAGTAAGGAAGCAGCCAGAAAGTGGAAAATAGAGTTGGTGCCAATTACACATCCACCCTCGTTTGGATGGAGAAGAACTCAGACTGGGTGCCATTGTGCAGGACACTGTCTTTCATGCCATCGTGGTGCCTCCACAATGACGATGAATTTAGGTAGGCAGAAAAAACGACTGAGGGTCCACCAGGGCTTCCCTGTTGACCGAGTCGAAGGCCTTGGTAAGATCAATGAAGACCATGTACAAATGACGACGCTGTTCTCTGCACTTTTCCTGTATCTTTTGGGCAGCAAAGATCGTGTCAGTGGTGCCACGTGATGGTCTAAAGCCATTGAGATTCTGGGAGGAAGTTTTCCGCCTCATCCAGGGGTGGAGGATAGCTGAGGTGGGTCAGCTCTGGGTGCTGAGGAACCTGCTGGGTAGTTAAGACATCCACATCGGCGTTTCGGTTGAGTAGCGAATGGTGGTGCTCTTTCCCTGATGGATACTTCTTCGTCTTTAATTAGGGAGTTAGCGTGGGATGAGCGGAGCAGGCCACGCCGTGAGTAGATAAGCCATATATTGGTTGAGCAAATGGAAAAATTCATGCATCTTGTGTTGGTCCCCAAATTGTGGCATTTCACGCTATATTTTTCACCTTCGTTCATTAGTTTGCAGTTAACTGGACAACACTTTCTTTTGGTGGAAGATATCAGCTTTGATCCAATACTTAAAAGTACCATAAAGTAAACATTGTGTATAGTAACATGGTAGTGAACAAATTGTGTATAGGTACATCGTAGTGTACACACACACACACACACACAGACTCTGTTCAAGACAAAATTTTAAGTCATCAATGTGGCAATGATAAAGTTGCCATCTTTAACGTTTTTAAATATTCTCTCAGCTGATGGCACCTGGCAGTGTCAGAAGAAGGTAAACGCGGCACTCTACTCTGAGTTCAGGACATTGCATAATTTGGGGAGGCCACTAGGTGAGGTGTTATGGTTGAAGGAAATACTGTAGTGGTGGGCTGACAACCAGGAAGTGTGTGGGGGAGGTTAGGTGAGCCAGGTGAGTGTTCGTGGTAGATGGGTACAGGTGTGTTGAAGGTAGCAGCAAATTGAAGGTCATTAGTCAGTAATTGCGGTAATCTCAATGGTTTCCTCTTCACTCATTACGTGTCATGGAATCCAATAATAACGTCGTTTATCATATTGCTGTAATTGATCATAAATGTTCGAAGATATAATTTATGCACTAACTTATTTCTTTTTGCTAAATAGGCAATTAATTTCTACATCATTAGTTATTTCTCAACAAAATACACCACTTTCAATTTTTTCATGTATACATTTGAAATTATAAGATTCATTACTCAAAATCTGATTACTTACTTGGTATATTTGTATTAATTAACCTGAGAATACATCAGGTTATGAAAACATTTAACTGAAACAAAATTACGTAAATGATTGGTGTTGGGGTGGCCATGCAGAACCGCGAGTCTCAAGGGATATGAGCGATAAGTTTCTCCTCTGAACGAAGACATGAGAACCACCTTAATAAAAGCCCACGTTAAAGAGACGACACTGAGACTCTTACCATAATTGTTGGGTGTGTTCTGTTGTCCTTCGTCGTGGAGGAGAGAGGAAGGGCTACAGGTTCTTATTGTTTACCATACTATACTCAGTTCTCATTGGCTGTTGCATCCATCCGCTTCACTTCTCTAAATATAAACTTAGGTACCCGCTCTCAACTGGGTGGCTTGGACATGTACCCGGGCACGAACCAGCAACTTTTTAGATTGGAGGTGAGTGTTGAATCCACTTCACCACCGCAGCCTGAATTAATCTGCGACCATTGTTCCCACTCCCCCACGCCCTCCTTGTTCTCTTCCACTCCCCCACGCCCTCCTTGTTCTCCCTTCCCTCCCCCGCCCTCCTTGTTCTCCTTCCCCTCCCCCACGCCCTCCTTGTTCCCTTCCTCCCCCCCCCCCCCCTCCCCCCCTCCTTTTCTCCCCTCCCCGCCCTCCTTGTTCTCCCTTCCCTCCCCACGCCCTCCTTTTCTCCTTCCCTCCCCGCCCTCCTTGTTCTCCTTCCCTCTCCCGCCCTCCTTTCCCCTTCCCCTCCCCACGCCCTCCTTGTTCTCCTTCCCTCCCCCGCCCTCCTTGTTTCCTTCCCCTCCCCCACGCCCTCCTTGTTCTCCTTCCCCTCCCCGCCCTCCTTGTTCTCCTTCCCACTCCCCCACACCCTCCTTGTTCTCCTTCCCCTCCCCACGCCCTCCTGTTCTCCTTCCCTCCCCCGCCCTCCTTGTTCTCCCCTTCCCTCCCCGCCCTCCTTGTTCTCCTTCCCCTCCCCCACGCCCTCCTTGTTCTCCTTCCACCCCCCACGCCCTCCTTGTTCTCCTTCCCACTCCCCCACACGCCCTCCTTGTTCCCCTTCCCTCCCCCACGCCCTCCTTGTTCTCCTTCCCTCCCCCCACGCCCTCCTTGTTCTCCTTCCCTCCCCCGCCCTCCTTGTTCTCCTTCCCTCTCCCGCCCTCCTTGTTCCCCTTCCCTCCCCCCGCCCTCCTTGTTCTCCTTCCCCTCCCCCACGCCCTCCTTGTTCTCCTTCCCACTCCCCGCCCTCCTTGTTCTCCTTCCTCCCCGCCCTCCTTGTTCTCCTTCCTCCCCGCCCTCCTTGTTCTCCTTCCCACTCCCACACGCCCTCCTTGTTCTCCTTCCCACTCCCCCACGCCCTCCTTGTTCTCCTTCCCTCTCCCACACGCCCTCCTTGTTCTCTCCTTCCCACCCCCACACGCCCCCTCCTTGTCTCTCCCCTTCCCACTCCCCCACGCCCTCCTTTGTTCTCCTTCCCACCCCACACGGCCCTCCTTGTTCTCTCCTTCCCACTCCCCCCCACGCCCCTCCTGTTCTCCCCTTCCCACTCCCCCACGCCCTCCTTGTTCTCCTTCCCCACTCCCCCACGCCTCCTTAGTTCTCCCTTCCTGCCCCCCCACGCCCCTCCTTGTTCTCCTTCCCCACTCCCCACGCCTCCTTTGTTCTCCTTCCCACTCCCCACACACGCCCTCCCCTTTTGTTCTCCCCTTCCCACTCCCCTTCACGCCCTCCTTTGTTCTCCTTCCCACTCCCCCACGCCCTCCTTGTTCTCTTCCCACTCCCACACGCCCTCCTTTGTCTCTCCTTCCCACTCCCACATCGCCCTCCTTTGTTCTCCTTCCCACTACCTCACGCCCTCCTTGTTCTCCTTCCCACTCCCACGCCCCTCCTTGGTTCTCCTTCCCACCCACACGCCCTCCTTGTTCTCCTTCCCTCTCCTTCCCACGCCCTCCTTGCTCCCTCCTTCCCACTCCCCCACGCCCTCCTTGTTCTCCCTTCCCACTCCCACGCCCTCCTTGTTCTCCTTCCCACTCCCCCCTCACTTCTCCTCCTTGTTCTCCTTCCCACTCCCCCCCACGCCCTCCTTGGTCTCCCCTCTCTTCCCACTCCCCCACGCCCTCCTTGTTCTCCTCCTTCCCACTCCCCCACGCCCTCCTTGTTCTCCTTCCCACTCCCCCACGCCCTCCTTGTTCTCCTTCCCACTCCCCCACGCCCTCCTTGTTCTCCTTCCCTCTCTCTCGCTCGCTCGCCGCCTTCAGTAATTTCCTGACGTCCTGCGGTAATTTCTGCGTCGGTAAGTTCCAGGACACTATGTAGGAGGCAGGTGAGGGAAGTCCTGTGCGAGAGTGAAGGATGTCTGGCCAATAGTGTCGGAGTTGGTGTGTTGTAGGTTAGGTTAGGTTAGGTTGGCTTAGGTTAGGTTGGGTTAGGTTAGGTTGGCTTAGGTTAGGTTATTAAACATATGCCATGATGGAAAATACAAACACACACACACACATTTACACATACGTACATACATAAATACATACATACATACATACATACATATATACATACATACATACATACATACATACATACATACATAGTCACCTTCCAACTATTTTTTTTCATTGATTTTACATTTTACACAAATGAGAGACTTCCCTAAAAATATAAAAAATAAACTTGGAGAATTGAATCAGTGAGTTTGACTTATG